CTTATCTAAGTTGGAATTAATTGTTTTCACTCTCCTCAGCAACCTGTAGAGTCACAAGGTCTAGCCCTGGTCTACCTCATTTAGCCATATCTCTAGCATCTGTCAGAATACCTGGCGCATTGGAACATGGGAAGTGCTTAAAGTGTACTCACTGCGTGAATAAAATAAATTGGTCAGAAAAAGTGTTTTAGTACATTTCCTTCCCATAACCTTTATTCACATATTACATGACCATTGTAGTGTTTACTTTCCACTGGTCGCTGCCTCACTTCACAGATGCATCTGCCTGGCATGTGTGTGGGTTGGTTCATTACCCCCAGGTGATGTGAGTGCAGCAGTCCCCCATTACTCGGGGTTTCACTTTCCATGCTTTGAGTTAACCATGGTCAAACTTGTCTAACAATAAATGTTAAATGGAAAATTCTAGAAGTGAACAATTGACAAATTTTGAAGTGCATGCTATTCTGAGTAGCATGACAAAATCTCGTGCCATCTCGATCTGTCCTGCCTGAGCCTTGACTCCTCCCTTTGTCCACGTCTCCACACTGTGTATGCCGCCTGCCCGTCGGTCGTTTTAGTAGCCGCCTTGGTTATCAGATCCACTGTCATGGTACAGCAGTGCTTGTTTTCAAGTGACACTTATTTTACTTCATAGTCACCCCAGAGAGCAGCTGGCAATTCAGATATGCCATCGAGAAGTTGTAAAGGCTTTTTTAAGTGAAAAGGTGAAAGTTGTCAACGTAACAAGCAAAGAAAAATCACATGCTAAGGTTGCTAAGATCTTTCATAAGACTGTAGCTTCTCTTTAAGATACTGTAAAGGAGGTTTGAAAAGAAATTTGTGCTAGTTTTGCTGTTGTATCTCATATTGCAGAAGTTACGGCTACAGTATGTGGTCAATGCTTAGTTAAGCAAATAAAGGAAACTAGACCACCTTCTTACACCACACACAAGAATAAACTCAAAATGGATTAAAGAATTAAATGTTAGACTTGAAACCATAAAAGTCCTAGAAGAAAACAATCTGGGGTATTTCTTATGGTGATATTTTTTTCTGATATATTGCCTTGATCAAGGGAAACAAAAGAAAAAATAAACAAATAGGACTACATCAAACTAAAAAAGCTTTACAGAGCAAAGGAAAACATCACCAGAATGAAAAGAACACCCACTGAATGGGAGAACATATTTGCCAATGATACCTCTGATGAAGGGTTAATATCCAGAATTTATAAAGAACTTACAAAAATCAACACCAAAAAACAGTCCAATTAAAAAATGGACAAAGGACCTGAATAGACACGTCTCCAAAGTGAACATATGGATGACCAATAACATTTGAAAAAATGTTCAACATCACTAATCATCAGAGAAATGCAAGTTAAAACCACTGAGATATCACCTCACAACCTGTAATAATGGCTATCATCAATAAATCAAACAAGTGCTAGCGAGGAGGGAAAACTTGTGCACAGTTGGTGGGAGTGCAGACTGGTGGAGCCACTGTGGAAAGCAGTATGGAAATACCTCAGAAAATTAAAGACAGAAGTACCTTAGTGACCTAGCAGTTCCACCGCTGGGAATATAGCTGAAGAAACCCAAAACATTAGTTTGAAAGATTATGTGCACTCCTGTGTTCATTGCAGTGTTATATACAATAGCTAAGATTTGGAAGCAGTCCAAGTGTCAGCTGTTGAGTGAATAAAAAATGTGGTACATTTACACAATGGAATAATACTTGGTCTTAAAAAAAGAAGGAAATCATACCTTTTGTGACAACATGGATGGACCTGGAGAATATTATGGCTAAGTAAAATAAGCCAGTCATAGAAAAAAATACCATATAATCTCACTAATGTGGAATGAACAAAATAAACTAACAAAATAGAAACAGACTTACAGAGAACAGACTGATGGTTGTCAGACGGGAGGGTGGTTGGGGGGCTGGGTGAAAAACGTGAAAGAATGAAGCAAACCCCCCCCCCCCTTCAGAACACAGATACAGACAGTAGTATGGTGATCACCAGAGGAAAAGGGGATTGGGGGGGGAATAAATGGTGGTGGAAGGGGCTTCACTTGAGGTGGTAAGCACAGTACAATAGATAGGTGATGTATTTTATAGAATTGTACACCTGAAACCTATATAATTCTATTAAACAATGTCATCCCAGTATATTCAATAAAAAGGTAAAAAACTAAACCATGTTCTGAGTATGAAACCACTTAAGTAGTTTGTAAATTTTAGTCTAGATTACAATGTTAAAGTGGGGGGGGGGTTATTTTGCTGTGTAGTATGTCAGGTAGTTCATTTTCTTCTTTCTTATAAACAGTGCTGACCTGAACCTTTATTTTATGTCTACTAGTACAACTGTAAGTGGTGTGTCGTGTCCCCCCCCATCCCCCCACCCCGGTTTTTGAGGTATAATTAACATACACAACATTATGTTAGTTTCAGGTATACGACATAATAACTTGCACACACACATTGTGAAATGATCACAGTTAATTTAGTTATATTCATTGAAAAAAGACAGAAAAGGTACTAACTCTGGGTGGAAGACATGAGCAGAAACATATTTTGATCAAAAGTAATGTGCTAGAAAGTATTGAGTGTCTACACAAACATTTTGGCAAGTGATCTTCTGGAATGAGAGATAACTTTTAATATAGCATATTGTTGTAAACGTTTAACTTTATTAGTACTTATTGTTAGTAATCTCTTACTGTGCCTAATTGATAAATTAAACTTTATCATACATAGGAACAATCGTAGTATGGTATATGCAACATTTAGTACTGTCTGTGGTTTCAGGCACTGAGATTCTTGGAATGTCCTCATGGGTCAGGGGATACTGTATGTTGAACATTCAGGTGATTAACTGTACTCTTTGAGGTAATATTTTTGGGGAGAGGTGCTTTTTTCTTTACATCAAGATAGTTTTTACTCTTCCTCCATAGTTTCTCATCTCAGTAACTGGAAATACCAGCCATCCAGATGTCCTAAAAGAAGTTTGAATTTTGCCTTTTCCTCTCTGTATCCAACCACCCTTGAGTCCAATATCTTTGGAATCCCCGCACTTCTCTCCACCTCCAGTGGCACAGTCGAGGTTTTTCGGTCTGTTGCTAGATTTCTGCAACACCCTCCTAATTCTTTGCTCCTCTTTTCCAGTCCAGTTTCTGTCCAGTCTGTTCTTCATATTTGATTCAGGATCTTTTAAAAATGTAAATCAGGTCATTCATCTATGCTGCTTAAATCTTGTCAGTCCATTAATTTTCTCTAGGTGATTCTCTCAGGGCCCCTTAGAACACAGTTTTTGTCTGGGTTTCAAGCCTTACTTCATAGTTTGTTACTTTCTCCTCACCCCGCCCTTTTGTTGACTGTTACTACTCACTGAGTTGTTTCCATTCCCTGCCTTCCTCCCCCAAACTTTCATGTTCTCATTTTGCTCCTGTCCTTCAGGTCTAAACACCAGTGACACTTTCCCTAAGCTATATTTTTAGACTACTAAATTTGGTTAAGGTTTCCTCTGTGTGTGTCCATTGGAAAATTGTTGCAATTCCTTGTCTTTTTTTTTGCTTTCTGAGATACAAGCTTGATGAGTGCTTAGTCACCACTCTTTCCACAATTTAGGGCAGTAGCTGTTCCTGTCACCTCGTAGTCTGCCCAAGTGCTTGTTCATTTGTGACTTTTTGAAAAAGATTTTATTTATCTTTAGAGAGTGGGAAAGGGAAGGAAAAAGAGAGGGAGAGAAACTGACCCATTGCCTTTCCTGTGCACCCCAACCATGACTGAACCCACAAGCCGGGCATGTGCTTTGATTGGGAATTGATCAGGTGACCTTTTGCTTTGCAGGAGGATACCCAATTGAGCCACACCGGTGGTGGTCAGGGCTGTTAATTTGTGATTTTAAAGTGTACTGTGAACTCTCCATTGTAAAGGATCCATGAGGTGGCAGAACAATCAGCACAGACCCATAATGTTTGGTACCCTTTTATACGAGATGTTAAGACATCTTTTGTAAACGAGGGACTGAGAAACTGTAACCTGTAGGCCTGGTCTTTTATTAGGCCAGACCTAAGAATTTTTTTATTTGTTATTTTTTAAGTGCTTGGAAATTAAAAAAAAAAAAAAAGGGACACAACAAATGCATGTAACATTCTAATTTCAGTGTCCCTAAATAATGTGTTATTGAAACATAGTCATACTCATTTGTTTACTTGTTTGCTGCTGCTTTTGTGCTGCAGTCACAGAGTTGAGTAGTAGTGACAGAGGCTGCATGGCTGGCAAAGTCTTGAACACATTCACTCTCTGGCCCCAAACACAAAAAGTTTGCTTGCAACTGCTTTAAATCCCTTCTGTGACAGGAGCATGGATAAGTATAGTTAGACATGTTTGTTATGCCTTAGTTTACTGGTTTTCCCTTCCTCCCAATTCAAGGTTTAAGGATATATCCAGTAAGACAGTATCATTTGAGTTTGCAGAATTGTAGTCCAGCCTCTCTGCCTTACATACATAGAGCTTTTGGAAACTTGCATATCGCAGGTTAGATGTTGACTATATAGAGACTTCAAACCGCACGAAATTATGTAGACACAAACAAGCTCACCTTCTTTCCCCTTTAGTCAGTGGTCTAAAATCAGTCGTTCTTAAATAAATAATATTTTGATGCTTAAAATTTACTGTTTTTATAGTTAAAGAGAAAAAGGACCAACTATTTATGCTGTTTGATTTAATCATTCAAGTGTGATGCTAAAGCCTTTTTATAAGTTTCGAATCATTTTTGTCAATATGTTATCTTGCAGAAAAATAGACCCAGCCATGTTTGGGTTATGTAATTGATTACTGTTGGGAGTAACTTTATTTGTAGGGTTTATTATTATTAGGCAATATAGAATTTTTTTCTTTCTTTAATAAAATCAAATGGTTTTTACAACATTGTTTACATTTTGTTTAAAATATTATATTGAGAAAATACTTAATTAACTTTGTTTTATTTTTAGGGTTATATCCTGTGTTGTGACCTCATGGTTTAAGTGGGAATAAAGATGAGTATAAGCAGTGATGAGGTCAACTTCTTGGTATATAGATACTTGCAAGAGTCAGGTGAGTACTTTCGTAAAGTAAATAGGCCTCAAATTATTTTAATATTCTCAAAATAACCTTTTATGCATTTGAAATTTGTATCAGTCCAAACTGTTGAACTTTGTATGTTTCCTTAAATGTCTGGACTGCCATTTTAAAGCTATGTGTTACTGCATGGTTTTAACTCTCTGACTCTTTCAAATATGTTAGAATCATCTCAGGGAAACACTTTGTAAATGATGGTTTGGGTTTCACTGTTCGAAGATCATTTTTCTGATTTGTTCTGCAATGAGATTATTGTACACAGGAACATAAACTCTCAGATATCATTAATTTAATAACATATATTCAGAATCCTTAGCTAAATGTTACTAGTCCTAATTATAGTTAGCATTTCAAAACCTTTCCATATTTTTTCAGAATGTTTTTATAAGTATTATCCAAGTTGATTATGTGTATCCATGACCTGAATTCTTACTAATGTCTTTATTGGGGGATAATTAATAAATTACTGAAGTCATTTGTTAAAAATATTAAATAAATGAGAGATCATCCAAGTTTTCTAAACAGAAGTGTTGTCATAAAAGAAAAGGAAAAAACTACAAGGAAAATGTGAGATGGATTAAGCAAAAAACAAAACAACGTAAGAGGCTAAACTTGGGTTGGATGGGGCATAGGATGGTAGAAAAGGTTGACAGCAATAATGGTAAGTGCAGGTTGTTAACATGAGATGGAATTAGTGCTTTGAAAGTATCATGCTGGAGTGATCGAATTTTAGAAATTGCAGCTTAAATTTATTGGAATGCTTTAGTAGTAAGGTGAGGTATGGGGTATAAAAAATATAATTTTGGTAGTTGTGTGTAAGGGAAGACAGAAGAAATAGAGTAGGACATCTCAATTTTGGTTTTGAAACTCCAGTTATTCTTATAGGGTCCAGCTAGTTGCCATTCCTTATAGAGGGAGTGTAAACATGAGCTTAGATCCCAGATCCAGTGTGGACTGAGATGTTCCCACCTGCACTCCAGCTCTGAGCTCTTCCCTCTGTTGGAGGTTTCCTGGTTTCAAGCCTCACTGCTCTTCTCTGGCCTGGAATAGCTTGGAAAATGTGTTCAGCAAAGGCAGGGAGGAGAAAAGAGAAGAAATGAATGTAACCAACCGATGCAAAATAACTTGCTTGGAAGCTCTGAAATTAATAGGTCTTGTTTTGTTTTTGTTTTTAACTGGTAAACTGGTATTGAAGGCAGATCCAAAGGGCATCCATAGACTATTTTGAGTAGGATAAAATGATTAATAAAGTAGAAAAAGTAGAGACCTAGTGATTGTTAAATATATAACATATATGCACATGTTTAGATACTGTTATGTAGTACCTTTTTGGACAAAATGGAAAGGATTTGTTGCGCTGAAACAAACTTTTTTCTGCCTTAGAATTCTGGCCAATATTTAAGCCAGAGTTTTGAGGCCTTGGACACTAAAACAAGATACATTATGAATGATCATGGATGGACAATATATTGTAATGGCTTGTAGATGGATTGTAAAGGTAGTTATTTAGGTTGAACCGTACAAAACCGCTATTTCTGGAGATCAGAAACAGTTGAAGAGCTCAGCAGCATCCTGTGGTTCAAGCCTGTGCTGAGGTGAAATAGGGCAAGGTGAAGTTAGAGATGTTAATGAACCCTCAGGTCTTCTTGTTTCCAACTAGGAGTCTGCATATTATGAAAAGTCTTCTTAAAGTTGGTTATGTTCTCAGAGAAAAAACCCTTCTAAATTCCAACTGTTGAGGTGTTCTACATTGCAGGAAAAATAAAGTAAGAATTATATTAAAAAAAAACCTTTTCTATGATAGACTGATATTTATCATAAGTTCTTTAAAATTGTTTACTATATTACTATTCTTTGTGCATTTTTCAGAAAGCTTTATACTTTATACAGCAGTGTACTGGTGATAAAGTATGATGTTAAGTCACATCTCTAAAACTGTGAACACCAGTCCCTTCATAAAATTTAACTATTTACATTATGATTTGTAGGGGAAATGAGACTCAACTGATGACATTTTGACTTAATGGCAGTTTTTCTAGGATTGTATCCTGCCATGATTTAAGAACTGCCTATACCAGAATTCTAAACTTGGACCCTTTTGATCACTTGCATCAGAATCACGTGGAGCACAGTGAATGGGTTGAGGAATGCACATTTCACAAAGTGCTCCGGGTGATTCTTAGGCATAATAAAGTTTGAAAGCCAATGATCTATATCAGTTGTAGGACAATTAGAACTTGACATCAGGTATGTAGCATGTTCTCTGAATCTTGAGAGAAAAATGTAACTATTTGAGAGAAAGTAGAAAGCATGAAATGTACACATTGAGATTTGGAATGTGAGAATATCTCCTAAAGAGGGAGCTGACAACAAAAGTGGTGTATTTGTGTTTGTAGGTAAGCTTTTGCAGGAATGATGAGACATGTTTCTATTATCAGACATTTCTTTTGAAATTACTTACAGAGATAGAGGTGGAAAAGAGTTTAAGAAATTTATGAGCTGTCAACTAGGGACACGCTTCCGGAAGAGCTCAGATTCTAACCCATCTCAGTACTTGCCACGATTTCAGAGTTCCTTTCTTGGTTCTGATTTCCATTTGCACATAAAAATTGCCATTTTTGCAGTTGGTTCAATCTTGGAATCACGCAGTCCAGAAATCCCTTCTGTTGGGATTTAGTGTCTTTATCACCATAATTTGCAAGGAATATTTATTGAGAATTAATCATTAAGTGTCTGAGAAATATGATATAAATTACTCTTTTAGGCCATAAATATTTCTCTTAAAAAAGTTAAAATAAAAGAAACTAGAATCTTAATATTGCTACCTTCCCCATGAAGTAGTACTGAAATGGGAAGAAGAGACAGGAAGAAAAGAAATCATGATGACCAAGTGTCTGTGCAGAGACGGTAAAGAGCTGGTCATAAAGACTTACACAAAGGAAAACAAAGTTTCCTTCCTGCTTGTCTCATTATGTAAAAGCTCTTAGTTTGAAATCCCAAAAACCACCTTAGGAATGCTTGGTTCTGTTTTGATAAATGTATGCTTTAGAAATAATGTTTTTCAGTAAGAATGTCTAGTATTTGTTCTCTGCAAACAGTGTTTAATGTTGATTGGACCAGATGGTATCCATCTCCAGAGGGGATAAAATCACTTGAATTGTTTTCATCTTAAATACTCTTTGTGGTGATCATTCTATTATGAATGTTATCAGCACTGGAATATATTAGTCTGTTAAAAAATCCTGTTTCCCTTCAAATTACTTAATTTTCTCAGATCTTCAGTTTCCAAATCCATAAAATTTGTTGCTCGTTAAAAAGGAAATACATTGTGATACTTGGTTTCAAGTGAAATAAGTTACTCTCCCTTATTCATTAAAACTAATTAAGAGTAAAGTATATTTAATGTAGGTTGTTTTTATTAAGGGTTCTGACATTTTTCCCCTCACTTTTATCTCTAGAAAGTTCACCCTAAGCAAATTACTTTGGTCGTCACCATTTTGTTCTTTTATGAACTGGACTTCCATATTCAACAAATATATCCTAGGGAATAAAATTAGTTTTTTTTTCTCTTTTGAAAATAGAATGTATTTGACACGTAGTACTGTCAGTGATGATGATTGACTTGATTCATTATGCTCCCTTTAATTAGCACTTACCCAAGGACATTAATAATTTGATTGCGCTAATAACTCAAATCTAGCAACCATATGTAGAATAAATACTAAGCAGTACATGCTAAATTGTATCTGTATAACTGAACCTGATAGCAGTGTTAATTGTAGAAGAGCTGGGCTGGTTTGGACATTTTTAATCCTCCCATCCCACCTTTGCATTTTCCCATTTTCCTTGGACTTTTCTGTTTTAGTTGTTTTTTTGTTTTTTTTTTTTTTTTCCTAGAGAAGTTGTTCCTGGCAGTTATTTGTGAACTTTTTGGCACTCATTTGTCTTGTTCCTTTGTGTGATATGTAATTTTATTTTGCCTAAATTGTCTATTTGGTTTGGGGGAGAATTCTTGAGTGTAAATTTAACTGCCATCTATTGCATGACATTTTTATTATTTGCATGCTGAATTGCATTATTTATAATGTACCTGAATGTTGGATGTTATGAGACTGTTGTATTTTACATTTTATGATTGAAGACTAACTTGAAAATGCAAAAACAATGTTATTATTACTGACTTTCCAGGTTGTGATTCTGAATAGTAACCATAGCAAAAGTCCTCATGTTTTTAGAATTGAAGTTTATCTTGGCATATAGCCTCCAGTTGTGAGAAGGTATGATATGTAGGCTTGAAAGGTTTGGTTCAATAAAGAGCATCTTATCTCCTGTACCCCACCCTCCTCCTCTGTTTTCTAACCTTTTTTCAAAGGGGTGTTGAGTCTCCCAAATACAGGTCTTTCACCATACCACTTTTTCTGAGATAATGCCTACTTCTCACATTCTATTTGTTTATAAGATCACCTGTCAAATACAACACCCCCCACATACACACTTAATATAAATGTGATCATAGTAGGCACAAAGTAACCTGAATGTTTATGTATAATATTAAAGGTTGTAACTTAAAACACCAAAATCCACTTACTCATTTTAAAAAAATTTTATTTATTTATTTGTTTAGACAGAGGGGAAAGGAGAGAGAAAGAGGGAGCGAAACACCAGTGTGTTTGCCTGAGTTTGCATGAGTGTGGCTGCCTCTCACCTACCCCCCACCGGGGGCCTGGCCCACAACCCCTGCATGTGCCCTGACTGGGAATGGAATCAGCAACTCTTTGGTTTGCAGGCTGGCACTCAGTCCACTGAGCCACACCAGCCAGGGCCCATTCATTCATTTTTTTAATTTAATGATTTTATACTAACTGCTACAGTGTTAGTAAAATGTCAGCAAGTGACTGTAGTTTCTCTGGACTCAGATAAAGGTAGCTGGGCTAGGTAACATTAACATTCCTTTGCATATATTCTTCTGCTGGTAC